GCAGCAGCCAATCAGATCCCTCCTACATGTGTTGACAGGCTAACAGAAGTACGAGGCTTCACTGACGCCCAGAAGGAGGAGTACTTCAGGAGGAGATTCAGTGATGAAGAGCTGTCCAGCAGAATCATCTCCCACATGAAGACATCCAGAAGCCTCAACATCATGTGTAGTATCCCAGTCTTCTGCTGGATCACTGCTACAGTTCTGGAGCACACCTTGACTACAGAGCAGAGAGGAGAGCTTCCCAAGACCCTAACTGACATGTACTCACACTTCCTGCTGGTTCAGACAAAGAGGAAGAAGAAAAACTACTGTGAGGGACATGAGACGAGTCCACATGAGCTGACGGAGGCTGACAGGGAAGTTCTTCTGAAGCTGGGAAAGCTGGCATTTGAACATCTGGAGAAAGGAAACATCATGTTCTACCAAGAGGACCTGGAGCAGTGTGGTCTGGATGTGACAGAGGCCTCGGTGTACTCAGGAGTTTGTACAGAGATCTTCAAAAGAGAGTGTGTGATCTTCCAGAAACCAGTCTACTGCTTTGTTCATCTGAGCATTCAGGAGTTTCTGGCTGCAGTCTACATGTTCCACTGTTTCACCAACACGGCGGCAAAGGTGGTAGTGGACTTCCTGAGGATAGACTACAATGAGTCATCTCTGAATGTTTTCCTGAAGAGAGTCATGAAAAAATCCCTCCAGAGTCAAAATGGCCACCTGGACCTATTTGTTCGCTTCCTTCATGGCCTCTGTCTGGAGTCCAACCAGAGACTCTTAGGTGGTCTGCTGGGTCAGACAGAGAACAGTCCAGAAGCCATCCAGAGTGCCATAAACAGCCTAAAGAAGATGAATAGTGATCAAAACTCTCCTGACAGAAGCATCAACATTTTCCACTGTCTGATGGAGATGAACGACCTCTCAGTACATGAAGACATCCAAGAGTTCCTGAAGTCAGAGAACAGATCAGACAAGGAACTCTCTGAGATCCACTGCTCAGCTCTGGCCTTCATGCTGCAGATGTCAGTGGAGGTACTGGATGAGTTGGACCTGCAGAAATACAACACATCAAAACGGGGACGACTGAGATTGATTCCAGCTGTGAGGAACTGCAGAAAGGCTCGGTGAGTCCAAATTGGTTCATTACCATCATCAGAATAGAGCAGTAGATTTTTTATTCAGAAATACACCAGGTTTTCTTTAGGTTTTTAAAAAGTCTGAAATTAAAATCAAAGAAAATGACAAATTTCAGATCATATTTCTAAGTTAAATCACCTGTCAGCATAATTTTGCATGTGAATACATAGCATAGCCATTAAGATGCATTTTATAAGCACTTTTTTTAACTGTTTGGTGTGACTTAATTTTGATTCTCCTTTAGTTATGAATTTTTAGGATGTAGTGATATGGAATAGCTCACTGCTAACTTCTTTAACATCCAAGGTGGGTAATTAATGAGTAGCAATGGATCAATGGACGGATATCAGATCTCAGCTTAACACCTGTATCTAAAAAAAAGTACCGTCAAACCATTACTTAATGATTATGAAATTTAATAACATCTATGAGGACATGGAGAGAAAATGTAAACACTGACTTGTGTTAGTGTTGTAGGAGGAAGATGAATGAATGAATGAATGCCTTTTTTACAGTTACAGCAGAGTCACTGAAACAGAGCAGTGTCTTAAACAGGAAAACACAAACTAGACAGATACCGGGAAAACCAACTGAGTCCAATATAACCATACTATACAAAATATTTATATCCTTACACATATGTAGGTGTATAAGCTGAAAAGTCTCTGAATGTGGGCCTTTACAATTCTTCAAATAATCACTGAGAGGAAATCTTGCAAGCAGATGCATTTCACATTTTGTAGTGGACAGAGATGTTCCTAGACTGTGAAAGTAGTTGAAGTGCTGATAGAGAGCACCAGACCATCTGCCACTGTTTCTCAACTTGAGGATATAAAATATATACAGGGATCAAAAATTACAGTACAAGCATGTTTGATGAATCAATAAAAACAGTCTGAATCAGCAGAGGTGGAGCAGAATCAATAAACTAATTAGCAAGGCTGGAAGCATCATTCGTCTGAATCTGGAGGCGTTTGAGTCAGTGAGGGTCAGAGGTCACTCTCAGAGTTCAACATGAAACAAACTTTAAAGTCAGAATCGCATGACTGAGTTGTCAGAGAAGAAAAAAAATATGTAAATGAAAAATGATGAAATTCACAAATGCAGACCCTCAAATATTATCCAATGACCTGTTAATTAGTTTTTTCCGTTTTTTCAGGAGATTCTCTGTAAACTGAGATGGCTGTGTGGGAAAATCGAGTAGATCTTATTAAATTCCGTTCTTTGTATTCTTGAACTAACCCTAAACAACAAATTTTATTCAACTGTGGTGCTCTGTGCTTCTTTTGGGTGCCCCTCTCTGGTGGTTCCGTTCGGTCCGGTGCTCCCTGGAGTCTCGCCACCCCTGTGGTCGCTGTGGTCCCGAAATGTCCTGCAAAGGAAACAAAACACCTTTCCCTACTACGCCTTACGAGTCTACTATGCGTATCAATTGTTCTTTTAATTATTCAAAGTTAGTTCAACCTATCATGTTCTGGGCTCTATCCTTTAAGTGACACTTTTGACATTCTTTAACACACTTAAAGAGCCGCTGTCACGTCCCTCCAGGTGTTTCCTGTTGCTCACTCTCTTCTCCTCTTATCTGATTATCAACATCCTGTACACAAACTGTTGCTTCTGCAACTGCGAAAGTTGCCAAGCAGAATGTGCCTTAACTCTGACCTACAATTCGCAGTACATGTTATCTGTCTCTGCAAACATCTTCATTGACCTTTTACACCCTGTCACCTTTCACAATAGATCATCTCTTCATGAGCACTTTAAGTCATTATAACCGCTTATTTTACTAAAATATCAAAGAGAAAACAAACATTTCCAATCAATTAAGTTTTAGCATAAAAGCAATTACTTATGCGTAAGTTTTATCATAGCTAAATTATCAAGCTCCCAGAAAGTCCAAACATGATCATAAAGCCCCTTATTTCAACTTAAACACAAAATCACCCCCTCATGAAACACCTCATATGTCAAATAAGCTAAAGACCAGCTACTAAAACTGAAAATACTGAAAATATTTCACCACCTCTTATAAAATTAAAAGAAAACCTTAGTCACATTATTTCTCTAAAACCCTCAGCAATTCTCCGCTCGGGTGTATTGCCCCAGGCCTCCAAACATGTGTTTAGGAAGAAAATCAGTTTAATCATCATGTTAAATCTTTTAAACTCCTGGCTCCATTCAGAGCTGCCTAGAAACAACACCTGTGTGTTAACACTAACTTCATTTTTAAAACTCACATTTCCCACTTGTAATACCTGTGTTATAACAAAACTTAAGACAAAACAGTTATCAATCATGTTCTTCATACAACATATTTTGATTTCATTTGCTCCTCTTAATGTAATGGTACATGTTACGGATTCAAATATCGAGGAGGGACACAGGAGGAATCCAAAATCACAACAGTGGTCCAGAAGGGTTAGATCAAACGATGTTTTAATGAACACACGCGTGGGAGATGAACACTGTACGCAGACAGCATCGATCTCCGCCCAAAAATACACCAGCAGTTGTCTTTATAGCATCAGGGTATGTTTTCTGATGCCCCCTCTTGTGTCATTACATGCATAAGTTATAAAAACTTTGTGGAAAATTGGTCCAGGTCTGCTTTGCCCTGAAAATAACAAAACTGAGACATTCTCTAAACCATCATGAGTTCAGGCTTCAATTTCAATCAAATTATATCCTGTATTCTCGCACTCGAACTCGTCCTGGCTTCACCTCTGACTGGTCCCTGTCCCTCTTCTCACGGTGTCCGGTGTGGCCTTAAAATCTTCAGCCAACACTGTCAGCTGTTTCTTCTTCTCAGTTGATCTTTTCAGTCTTTCCCTTTAGGTTAACTCCCAGCATGGCAAACCTGAAAATCAGTGTCCAGTGCTTTCCCACAGTCATTTATCCCACTGTTCTTCCCAGCCTGTAATTCACAGTGCATGTTGCATCACGTGCTTCCTTACATGCTACTGCTGGAGTCTTCAGTGTTATAGTTCAGTTGCACTGTGTTAAGGTTCAAGAATTGAGGAAGGAGAGTACAAACCACCATGGTCCAGAAGATCTTGGTCAAACAATGATTTTAATGAATACACGCGTGGGAAGACACTCTGTACGCAGACAGCAAGTGATCTTCAACTTAATCAAAGCATAAACAGACATTTTATACCATCAGGGCTTAAATTTACTGACGCCCCTTC